CTCCCAAGCGGCGCACTGTAGCAGTGCGCCACCAGGCCGGCCCTAAAATTTTTTAAATAATTTCAGGCTGGCTGGTTTGCTCAGTTGGTTAGAGCACAGCCTTGTAACACTAAGGTCACGGGTTCCGATCACCGAACCGGCCAGCTGCCTAAAAGTTAAATAAATAAATAATTGAATAATTCAAGCTTAGAGAAAAGCTGTAAAAATAGCACAACAAACACCTGTATATGACTGGTTAGGTTAGTTGGTTAGAGCGCCATCTTGTAACAAGGTCAAGGGTTTGGATCCCCGTACCAACCAGCCACCAAAAAGCAAACAAAAAAAGGCTTCATTTGATCACCAGTTGCTAATATTTTGCCACATTATCTATAGCATTTATCCTTCTCTTTCTTTTCCCTTTCTCCTTCTCTCTCTTTCCATACACACACTCTCTCTCTCACACACTCACACACTCTCTCTCTCACTCATACCGTTATGTACATTTATTTTTCTGAACCATTGGGAATCTGTGGTTTTAATTGTGACTGAGGAAGGTACTTCTCCATGCCTGGGTTTCTTCCTCTTTTCTAAAATAAGATAGTGAAAGAATCTTTGAGTGTTATGAGAAATAAAGGATTTAATTCATGCGAAGCACTTAGAACTGTGTGTCTGATACACAGTAAGACCTCAGTAAATGTTAGCTTTAGTTATAAGAAATATAGTGGTCTTGATGTGATGGTTCCAAGGCAGTGGGAAGACTAGGCCTTGCCCTATGGTACCCTTGCAGCTCAGTCATTTCAGGTGGACATTAGTGCATACACACAACATCATGTCTGACACTGTGTCTTAAACAAGTTGTTCTTGACATTGGGCTGCTACATAAGAGCTGTCTGACGGGCCGGCCCAGTGGCGCACTGGAGAGTGCGCCGCTTGGGAGCGCGGCGGCGCTCCCGCCGAGGGTTCGGATCCCATGTGGAGACCGGTTCCTGCTCACTGACTGAGCGCGGTGCGGGCGCAACACCGAGGGTTGCGATCCCATTACCGGTCAGTAAAAAAGACAAAAAGGAAAAAAAAAAAAAAGAGCTGTCTGAAAACGTGGACAAAATACAGGTTCCTCAGAGTTTTTATTTCCATAGGTATGAGGTAAGTCCCACAAGTCTGTATGTTGTTTTAAATTGCCAAAGTGATTCTTGTCTTCTGCCAAGTTTGTGAACTACCTGGCAGAAATTTAAATGCAGCAGTGCAAATGAATTTCCATGAAGTGTTTTTCTTAAAAGAATTTTTCCTCTTTTTTCTAGGCTAATGGATACAGTTTTATCAATATTGAACACGGACAAGCAGTGTCATTGCTAAAAACTTTCCAGAATACAGTAGAACTCATCATTGTACGAGAGGTTTCCTCATAAGCACTGTGGACAGAAAAAAGGGGGAAGACAGCAAGATTTATTGGAGGATACTTGCTTGCAGGGGAAATTAAGATTTTGATTATTTTTATATATAAAGAACTCAAATTATGTTTGAATTTGTACATTAATGAAATAATGGAACTTGTGGTTAGAGGGAAAGAACCACTGTACAGAATATAAAAGAGACTGTTGAATTCATACTGTATAAAACTTGCTAGGTTTTTAAACATAGCAATCAAGGCTACAAAAACAAATCTCTGTTGTTTTTGTATAGATTGTAGGCTTATTTTTGGATTTCATACACATGACCGAACTGTGTGCAAGGCAATAGTTAGCCTTGATTGTAGCCCAGAGACAGATGGCAGAGCTGTCTGTCTCATAGCTTTTAAGCCCTTATTTTTATTCAACTGGTATTAATGTTTTCCTCCTGAAACTTTTTTTGATGTGGGCAAGAGATTTGAAGTGTTGGTTTTTGCTATGTGCATATTGAATTGAAGAGTGAGTAGGTGAAGGTGGTGCTGATGGGTTCACTTTCCAAGGCCAGACTAAAAGTTGTATCCTATAAAAATCTGGAAGCAAAGAACGAAAAAAATGCTATCTGTTAAAATGTGTTTTTATTAATAGAATAATGCAATAAAATATATGATATCTTTTTAAAGAAGTAAAAAAGACAATAATTGCATTTTATGAATTCTACAGGATTTGTTCTTGTCATAGTCATTGACTACATTTGCAACTGGTGATTCAGTTTTTAATTTTTTAGTCACAGGAAATTTTTAACTCTTACTGTAGATGCATGTTCACTCATTTTCTGTGCTAAGGAAATCCCCTGATTTTTTTTTTTTTTTTTTTTTTTTAAATGGTGGTACTTGTAATCTGTTTTATAATTAGTACTCCATTTTAATCTAATTTATACTTTTTATTTTAAGCAGCAAATGAAACTAAAATGGCCAGTTTTAATATTGTGTTGCCTGTAACACAAAATGTAAGACGGTTTAGGAAAGCCTCTTGATTTTTGTTTGGCCTTGCATTGCCTTGGTAAAGAGGAAACAGTACGCATGGAGCTAAGAAACCAAAGCAAGTTTATGAAACTGGCACAGTGATAGAGAATTGCTGTGGAGAGTTGTAGAGCAAAGGGATGGGTCCTTGAGGCCTACCGGTGTGTAAAGGTGTTAAATAAAGGGCTGTTCCTACAGGTAACATTAAATGTGAATTCAACACTTCAGAGTGTTTAAAGGGTTTCTAAGTGTATTGGTGTAATAGTGTTTTATCACCAACTGCCTTTGTTCCTAGTTACTGTAACAAATATTTGATGATAGAGGTTTATTAATTTTGTTTATCCATACCATTAATTTTATTTGTTTTTGTTCTATGTAATCAAATAAAATTTGAGTAACATGCAATGGTAAGAATTAATGCATGGTTATTTGGACCAGAAGAAATTACCATAACAGACCAGTAACTGTTTTTAGTTGAAGCTAGTCTAGAGCCTTTCTTCCATCAGAGCAATATTCAGTTATTGAAATTAATTTTTAATTACTAAGAAATATAATTCAGAAATTTTAAATCTGTTATACTTTGTTCTTCGACCTTGATTTAATTAAGACTTTTACAGGACTAGCTAAAACACCAACCTACATTACATTTACAGAAGTGAGTTGGACTCACTTTCCATTCTTGCTAGTCAGAGTAAATAGGCAGCACTTTTAAAAATATGTGAACTCAAGTATTGCACTTCCTTCAAGATGCTATCAATTGGTTATTGTACTGTACAGTTTTAATAATTTTGATTGAAACCCTTTAGCAACTCTTTGTAAATCTTAACTCATTTTGGTTGATTTTCAGTACTATTTACATAGGAATTGATTTTTATGGATATAGTAGAAGAATGTGCTGTATTTTGATACAAAATTCACTTATTGTATGTGTGTTGTAATCTCTTTAAAAAAGAATGACAAACGGCTTCTTTTAAGACAAGTCTCTGCATTCCCTTTGTTCTTGGTTTATTTTAAAATACTAATTTTGGCATTGTGAAGTCTTTTTATTGATTTCAAATTTTCATAATCACATTCTACTTTTAGTCAGGAATACATAAATGATATAATTGTGAATTTTTCAACTACTTTACCTTGAACCAGATACATAGATTATAATTTTGGAAAAGGAATTAAGCCCCACAGAACAATTGATTCTTCCATGATCTAACCTTAAGTTTGTTGTCTGCATCTTATACCAAATATTATATATGCAACATTATGCACTAGTACTTTATTCTACTCTAATTTCAAAATTTTGTAATGTTCTTGCAACATAGAAAGTTGAGAAAGAAAATTTGTTACCAATAGGAGTAAAATACATGATATAACATTAAAAAATAGCAAAAAGGTTTTGCACTTAATTAATAGCCAAAATTTTCTTCCAACAATTAAATGACAAGGACCTCTTCATTAGAGTGTTTGTTATGGTAATGATAAAGTTTCAAAATTTGAAGAATTATTTAAATATTTTAAGGAAATAGAGAAAACATTTTTAGTTATATACTGTAACTGACTTTATTTTGATAAGTACTATCTAGCAAATCTTCAAAGCCAGAACTGTTGAATAAGTTGTAGTTAAGGCCTATACCCATAACTGACTTTATTTTGATAAGTACTATCTAGCAAATCTTCAAAGCCAGAACTGTCTTATATTTAGTGTTTAAAATTCTTACCCTAACCAGTAAAAAATCATACCAATAAATATGATCAGAGTAGTTTATTCAGTATAGAATTGTTGACACAAACTAAAGTTTTATGCTGATTTATTAAAGAATCATCAGTTCATCTGAATCAAATCTAGAATTCCTTATGTATCTATTTTGCGAATATTTTTCTGACCTCTTTGGACTGGATTGAAGATGTGTATATACTTGAAATTCTTTTAAACACAAACATTGCCATAAACAGGACTAAACTTTATTAATTTGCTGTACTTAAAGTGCCATTAGCAGCTATGTAATATTTTTATCAATTAGCCTTTATTCAACATTCCAAATTTTTGTATATATCTAGATTGAAGTGGCACACATAGGATAGATAATAAACTAATTCTGTTTAAAGTTGTGTGATTTATGAAATTCAGGGTTAGGGGAATTCACGCAAAAGGAAATATACACAACTCCCCCCCCCCCCCACACACACTTTAAAACCCCTATATTTCTTGGTATGGAAGAATTGTAGTTTACCTCAATTACTATTTTACTTCTAAAGGTAGCCATTAGATGGGAAATGTTTTTTAGTTGGAGATTGGCAATAAGTCAAATCTATGTGGAAAGATATTTTTTCACTGATTCTGTTGCATTCTTTTTAATCTTTTAATGTTTAGGAAGTAGGTTTCTTATGAAAAAGACATTGAAATTAAAATAATTTCGATTCATCAAGAGCATTGATAAACACATGTAATTGATGATGGACAGAGTAACAAGATGCCTTTTTCTTAAAAAAAAGGTAATCTAGATTAGATAGCCAATTCAGACCTTCCGATATTCACTTGTTTCTTATAGCCTTCAGAAAAGGTTGATTGCTAATTCTTTATTGCTACTGAATTTGTAAGCTGAAGAGATAGTAAGCATAGTCATTCCATTTTGTAAAATTCTTAAGAGAATGCTATGTTAAGACTATCCATGCAGTCTCTTCATGAAGCAATTTTCAAGGTTAAAATTTATAGCCTCCAATAATATACCATTCTAGCATCCAAGCACCTAAAAAGCTTATTCTGAGCTGAGAGAGCTTATTTTAGAAAAGACTCTTAAATTTTTTTTTTAAGGGAAATATCTACGTTTTATTGTAGAGAGCAATCAGGATACTCCTGAATCTTTTCATAGGATTGTTAGGAAAGGCTGAAAAAGGGATCCTTCGGTTATAATTTTCTTTTCAAATGGAACAATTAGGGGTAGTGGTTATCTCCCTGGAATTATATGTGGCCCATCTAGCTTCTCAGTCATCCCTCAATCCAATTTCAGTGTAAAATTTGAGAATCTCATGCATCACATCAGTAAAAGAAATCTAAAATTCTACTTTCCTTATAATGGGATTCAATAAAGCAATTTTATTTTGCATGAAAGTAAGCCTTAAAACATTTTTCCTAAATTGACCTTCCTTAAATCTAATCAAAGGAATTGTGTTCCTCGAAGACATAGCTTTAAAGGACTTTTGTTGTTGTTGTTATGACAGTTGGCCAGTACAGGATTCGAATTCTTGAGCTTTGTATTATAACACCACACTCTAACCAAGTGAGCTAACTGACCAGCCCAGAAGGATCTTTTTCTGTGTACTCTTCTTCCCAGCTTTACCTTGTCAAAAAAGCTAAACAACAGTAAACTAATAAAAATTGAAAAAAAAAAAAAATGCATGTGCATGGAGCATAGATCTTAGAATTGTTGATTAATCCTCCTTCTCTTCATGAAAGGAAGAACCTAATACTGAGGGTTAATGTCTGTCCAGAATGCACATTTAACATCTTTCACATTTGGATCATCCTTCACCACAGCTCCCTCAAAGAAATGTTCATGCTCCCAAGAACAGGAGGAATTATTTGCAGTCTTGACTGTCAACAAAGTAAATCGTTCAACAGTGGAGCATGCTTCAATTTCCTTCTCCCACCCACATACCTAGAAAATATTATTTAATACTATGAGAGGTAAAAATATTTAATCTCAACAGTTTGGGAAAACAAGAAGGGACTGCACTGGGCCGAAAAATTTTGAGGGTGCTCACTTCAGCGGCACATACACTAAAACTGGAATGATAAAGATTTTAGCATGGCCCCTGTGCAAGGATGACACGCATATTCGTGAAGTGTTCCATATTTTTTAAAGTAATTTCTGGCAGTGGGTGTGCCCCCAGTATGAATCTGGCCCCCACGACATGGGCACGAGGGGTGACAATTAGCTTTGTGTCATGAATATTCATAATAAAATCCTAAAGAACTCCCCCAAATCTATAAGTGCTGATAAATTAAATCAACAAGTTTGCAGAATATTAAAAAAAAATTTTTTTTTTTGAGGAATTCTTCGAAGGCCTAGGGCAGATAGGGCTAGAGAATTCTACCATGAAGAGTAGATTTGGCTTCAGGGATACCTCAAAGGTGGAGACAAAGATCAAAAAAGAGTTCTAGGTAATGGTTGGGATGTTGCATCATAAATTGGTTAGGTCAGCCACCTTTTTTATGCTAAGCAGTGTGCAGAAGGGATGTCTGGTTCAATTATTCAGGAGCAATGGGTGTGGATGCTTAAATTAAGAAGGAAAACCAATACGGTCTTTCAAGCTAGCATGGGCTGCCAGGTTCGATGTCCTCCCCTTTGTCCACCATTGGTGCAGGTAGTTTGCGGTAAGCAAGCAACAAACATTTCTAGGCTCATACTAAGATGAAAAAAGTAAATGAACATTTGAAGAAAAGTAACGAGAGTCACCAAACAGAAGCACCAATGTCTAAAGAAATCAATATTAAAAATGGTATCTTCTGAAGAATAAGTAAAGATATTGAATTTATAAAGCAAACTTATGAAAGGGTTTAAATAGCTTTAAAATGTAACAACTGTAAAAGTAAGTTCAACAGCTGGGCTGAGGAGTAGGGAGGATGCATTAAAGAGTAAATCAGTAAGCTCTTTAGATCTAGATTCCATAGAATGTAATGTAAATGAATTAAGAAATGAGACATGAAAGAATAAGTCCTCATGCCTCAATGTGAGTCCTCCTTCAAAGAGAGAAGGGAGGGTGTGGAAATAGATTGAAGGGGAAAAAATGTTCAAGAAATTTTCTTAGAGCTGAAGCACAACATAAGTCTTCAGACTGAGTGGGTCCATTTAGTGCCAGGCAAAAACTACATGCATAAACTTCTAGATATGTCCTCATGAAATTTCATATTAGGTATAAAAACAATCCTGAAAGTTTCCAAAATGTGAAAGAAATTATTGCAAAGTAAACAATCAGATTGACATCAGAACTTTTACCAGCAACTTTGGATGCAAGGAGACAACAAAGCACTACATCCAAAAACTTGGAATTTATTCGAGACACAGGGCAAAATACAGTTTCAAGATTTCAAGGACTCAAAACTTACCTCTCCGTAAGAAGTACTAGGGGATATACTCCAACAAAGTGAAAAATAAATCTCAAAAATAAATTTGGGATCCAAGAAATAACATTGACCAAGGCCACATGTAGTGGAGCAGAAATAAGTGTAATTGGTATTGATAATGAATAAGAATGGAAGTAAAATACTAGATGACCTCTACAAGTGAGAATTAGAATTTTTCTAAAGTAAGCTGTGTATATTCATTAATTTTAGGTGCTTATAGAAAAATCTAAGTTGGAATTCTTGGATGAATAATGGTAACCACTGGAATAATAAACATTTAGAATTATGTATGCTTTTTGTTTGTATAAATATGTGCAATAGGTTATAGATTTTTTCCCCACAATGATTTATCCATGTGTAATTTGACTCCACTGCATTTTACTTACTCGGTTTTCTAGTGATGAACATCTGTAATGCTTCCACTTTCTCCACCTTCCTGCTGCCATAGACAATGCAGTGGTGAGTATCCTCATTCATGGCGTGTAACGGACCTGTGTGAAAATTACTCTAGAATACGTATTTAGGAGTACAATTGCTAGGTCGTAGGTACTGTCTAATTTCACTAAGTACTGCTAAATTATTTTCCAGGAAGTCTGCACCAGTTTATCTTCTCACTAGTTAGATATGAAGATTCTCATTTCCCCACATATTTGCAAATAATATTATGTGGTTTTCTAACTTTTGCATGTTGGCTGGATACAATACAATAACTGATGAAATGGACAAATTCCTAAAGTATGTCAGATTTAACTATATTTAATTTATTGAATTTGGGAAGAAATAACATTTTACCATATTAACTCAATTCATCAATATAGCATATGTCTAAATTTACTAAGTTCTTTTATGTCCCTAAATAGAAGGTGGGGTTTTTGGTTTTTTATTTTTGTCAGTTTTATTAAGGTGTAATTCACAGTA